TGATCCACCCACCTCAGCCTCCCAAAGTGCTAGGATTACAGGCATGAGCCACCATGCCTGCCTCCACCCTTTTCTAAGACAGGTTCTGGATTAACACTTTATTTCTAAGCCTTGAGCCTGAGTTAGGGACTCTCTCCTTCCCTCTTACCTCCTGTCTCCTGCTTCATTTCTAATGCTGTTCTCACCTTAAAACCAGGTCCTAGCAGAGCTGTGCATCGCCCACAGGCGGTGGCCCTGCTACTGGCGCTAAAGGTGAGTCAACTTTGCCTGATACTGGGCCCCTCTGCCTTAGCAGTCCTTTCCCATAAGGTATTTGTTCCCTTGGATCCCATAACTAGTGGAGAGAGACAAGGACTCCCGTCTAGGTATGGAGTGACTCAGACCTTCCTTCAGCCTACTCCTAAGATACAGTAGTGCATGATTTCACTTTCTGCCATTTCAGTTACCCTTGGTCAACTATAGTCTGAAAATAGGCAAGTACAGTACAATAAGGTATTTTAAGAGAGACTACATTCACATAACTTTTATTACAGTATATTAATAATTGTTCTGTTTTTATTGTTGTTCCTTTCTTACTGTACCTAATTTATGAATAAAACTGGCTAGGTGCACTGGCTCATATCTGTAATCCCAGCACTTGAGGGTTGTTTGAGGCCAGGAGTTCCAGACCAGCCTGGACAACAGAGCAAGATCCTGTCTCTATAAAAAAAAAAAAAAAATCAAAAATTAGCCAGATATGGTAGCACATGCCTGTAGTCTCAGCTACTTAGGAGTCTGAGGGAGGAGGATGGCTTGAGCCCAGGAGTTTGAGATAAACTCAAAGTCTCAGTGAGCTGAGATTGCACCACTGCACTCCAGCCAGCCAGGGCAACAGAGCAATCCCAGCACTTGTAATCCCTCAAGTGCTGGGATTACAGAAAGGAGCCACTGTACGTAGCCAGTTTAATTTACAAATTAGGTACAATAAGAAATTAACAACAATAATAAAAATAGAACAATTATGACAATACACTGTAATAAAAGTTATGTGAATCAGCGGCAGTGATCTATGATTGTGCCACTGTATTCCAGCCTGGGTGACAGAGCAAGACCCTGACTCTAAAAAAAATGTTTTAAATATATAAACTATCATAGGTATGTACATATAAGAAAAAGCACTATACACAGGGTTAGTATTATCCAGTTACAGGCATCCCTTGGGGGTCTGGGGACATATCTCTGATGAGTAAGGGAAGATCACTGTACTAGTCTTATTACTCCCAGGAGAGGAAGAGGGATCCTGGTCCAGTTGACTTTGAATCTGAGGGAGAGCCAAGCTGCCACTACCCTGGGTGTTGGAATAGCTGGTCTTGCTGCTGCCTCCTCCCACCTCCTCAAAAACACAGGTAAATGTAGAAGACAGTATGGGGGCCCATTCGAGCCTGGTTTTTCCTCCCTCCTGTTCCAGAGAATTCTGCTCAGCTCCCCTGGAGTCAAGGCCCCTGGAGTGCTGGGAACGTCACCTGCCTCCTTGCACATTCCATGGCAGGTGAGTCTGCTGCAGTCTCCATACTGTGGGTAGTAAGGATTCCATCCATTGTGTTCAGTCTACCCTCAACCCTGGTCTGGAGTTAATGCACCCAAAGTGAGGTATGGTTGTGGTGTGCCCAACCAGGGGCGTGGATAGACACCTTAATACGTGGTACTGGGACAACTGGCCATTTGTATGAACAAGGGCAAACTAGATCCCTACTCCTGCCTTAGGCAATCTTTGAGCAGATGCCCAGCCCTTAGCTGGAAAGAGCATCTGCCCTTCAATTAACTGTGTAATGGGAACATGGCCTGGGATAGAGGAACTCAAGGACCACGAAATCCTGCAGGGTGAACTACAAGAAATTACAGCTCTGAGGAGGGCTTCAAGTGAGTCAGAAAAAGGCAAATGAGTACTGCCCCAGCAGCTGAAGACAAACAGCCCAAGAGAAGAGAGGAGAGTTAGAGGTGGTGACTTTCCAAATAGGAGGGAAAAGCACATGACCCCACATAGTCAGGGAATGAAGAGCTGCTTCCTAGTCAAGCCCTGTTGAAACAAGGGCAGGAACCACAGTCTGGTGCCCTCAAAGGTGTCTTGAGGGGCTCACAAGATGGCACGATGCTGGGTGAATTTCTTGACGGGAAAAGGCAGGAAAGGAACCGAGCCCTCGCAACAAAAGCAGCATTCTTTTGGTGAAGGTGGCGTTCTCCCAGACCTCTTAATTCCTCTCTCAGACCCTGGACTACCTGTCACCCATCCCTTTCTGGCCAACATTTCCCAGCGCCAGCTCTCCAGCACGGCACTTTGGACCTCAGCTGCCACCACCAGACCCATCTCTCTTCTGCAGCCTGCTGACCTCGTGGCCCGCTAGGTTCAGGTACTGGTTTGAGGTTCTCCATAGAGGTCCAAGGAGGTGCTGGCTGAGGAGGGGTGGGGGCCATGCCTACTAGTTGCCACAGGAAAACACAGAAATCTAGTAACAGAAGTCTGAGGTATAATCTAATTCCTTCTCCTTCACAAATGGAGCCCCACGGAGATTAAAAATTTATTTACCAACCTGGCCAACATGGTGAAACCCCATCTATACTAAAATACAAAAAAATTAGCTGGGCATGGTGGTGGGCGCCTATAGTCCCAGCTACTCAGGAGGCTGAGGCAGGAGAATCTCTTGAACTGGGAGGCAGAGGTTGCAGTGAGCCTAGATTGCAGCACTGTACTCCAGCCTAGCAACAGACTGAGACTCCGTCTCAAAATAAAAGACTTCTTTATTTAAAGCTGGGTGCTGTGGCTCATGCCTATAATCCCAGCACTATGGGAGGCAGAGGTGGGAGGATCACTTGAGGCCAGGAGTTTTAGACCAGCCTGGGCAACATGGTGAAACTCTGTCTCTACTCAAAAAAAGTAGCCAAGTGGCAGGCAGGCATCTGTAATCCCAGCTACTTGAGACTCTGAGGCAGGAGAATCACTTGAATCCGGAAGGCAGAGGTTGCAGTGAGCTGAGATCGTGCCACTGCACTCCAACCTGGGAACAGAGCAATACTCTGTCTCAATAAAAAATTAAAAATAAAAATTTGTGATCAGCTAGCATGATGGAACTGAGACTAGGATTCAGATCTCCTGACAACCAGGCCAAAAGGTTTTCTACTGTGCTAAGATTTCCTGCAGCCAAATTGCAGGAAAATAGATGTTGGAGGGGCTTGGGAGCCCTGCAGCTCTAAGACCATGATGTGCCATGTGGCTAACTTTGGGAAAGTACCTAAACAGATAAGATTAATTAGATGTCTACCTGAGCTGACCTGGGCTGAATGAATGTAGGGGACAGAGAACTGAGAGCTTCCTTCCACCCAGCTCAAGTTAACTTCTTGCCTTCTCAGTCATCTGACCCAGCTCCATCCTCAGCACCAAAGGATCCTGCAGCAGCAGCAGCATAGTCAAACACCAAGGTAAAGCCCAGACGAGGAGCAGGGTTAAGGGGAGCCCATCTGCATGCCCGGTCTCCCCTTGTGACCAGTCATTGCCCTCAAAGCTCCCATATGGTTAAAACTCTCACACTGTTGCCCACCTCTGTGCTTGCTCCATCCTTCCCAGAGAGCCCCACTTCTGCTCACTACACACTTTAAGAAGTGGCAGTGGTGGGTAAGTCTAAGGGGTTGTTCCTCCTGGCTTAAAGTCCCCCAGCCAAGAAGCCTTGGTCTCAGCAGCCAGATCCCTATGCTAACCTCATGACCAGAAAAGAGAAGGACTGGGTGATAAAAGTGCAGATGGTGCAGCTGCAGAGTGCAAAGCCCCACCTGGATGACTACTACTACCAGGTGAGCCCCACGGTGCTCTGCCCAGCCTCTGACCTTGGGTCAAATGCATATGGACTCCAGGGCCCCTCTGATCCTCTCTTTGGCTCATAGAGGTCATATCTGTTCAGGTGGGAGAGAGAATCACTACAGGATAGGGGCCATATTTCTAAAGTACACATCCCAAACTCATTTCTCTCTATCCTCCTAAATTGCAGCCAACTAAGATTATTTCCGGTTCCCCAAACACACTTAGGTTTTGTCTCCATTCTTGGCTAAGAATTTTTCCTGTTCACCCAGGAAATAATGGGCTTTCTCACCTCTGTACGCTTAGAAATGTCAGGGATGTTATAAATAGCGGGATTCAGTTTGTTTATCTGAACAAACGACAGCAGACACGTTGACTCGTTTTCCCTTGTTTCCTTCCTGCCTTTCTTTATGGGACAAGTCTTTGTCCACAAGTTTTTGAGTTATCTAGGCTGTTTCACTACCTCTATTTTTTTTTTTTTTTTTGAGAAAGAGTCTCCCTCTGCCATCCAGGCTGGAGTGCAGTGGCATGGTCTCGGCTCACTGCCACCTCTGCCTCCCGGGTTCAGGTGATTCTCCTGCCTCAAACTCCCAAGTAGCTGGGATTATAGGCATGCACTACCATAAGCAGCTAATTTTTGTATTTGTAGTAAAGATGGGATTTTACCATGTTGGCCAGGCTGGTCTTGAACTTCTGACCTCAAGCGATCCACCGGCCTCAGCCTCCCAAAGTGCTGAGATTACAGGCCTGAGCAACCACATCCGCCTGGCTGTTTCACTTTTACCACAGTATCTGTGAGCCTCCCATCCAGGGCCCCACCCTTGTCCCCTTCTCATTTACATTAGATATTTTTTCTTTCTTTGCACCAAGCTTCAAAAGCCCTCCTTTTCTGCCAGCATCACTGAAAATAGTTTTGTACTCTTGCCTTTTTGGCATTGCTTCTAAACAAAGGAGCCTTTTTCAATTCCTTTTTGGCTTGTCAGTGATTTCAGTTTAGGATTTCTCAACTTTAAGAAAATGTCAGAGCTGCTGAGCGAATCCACAGAAGCATAAAACTGGCCTAGAGGGCAACCAACAAACATATCCCTATGGCTAGTTCTGTGCTTCAAGCTCTGGATGCCCTTCATACCATCAGCTTCCTGATTTTTAAAAAGCAGAGATGAAGCCACAAGATTAAATGGGAGAGTGGAGAAGACAGGTGGTGTGCAGTGTGTGTGTACTAGGACATGAGGAATGTAGGAAGGTTGCAGATGATGGAACAGGCTTGCTCACTGGCTCTCCACTTTGCTCTCTGCCCTTTCATCAGACATGGTGGTGGTACCTAGTCTTTAGGTATCTGGTATGTGAATTCCAATATGGGTGATATGGGGCCCAGGGTGCTTACGACACTTTAGAATAACTGCAAGGAGGGCCTAAGGTACCAGCATGACTTCTGGAATGATACTATAGGAAAGAGTGTTTTTTTGTTTTTTTGTTTTTTTTTGAGACGGAGTTTCGCTCATGTTACCCAGGCTGGAGTGTAATGGCGCGATCTTGGCTCACCACAACCTCCGCCTCCTGGGTTCAGGCAATTCTCCTGCCTCAGCCTCCTGAGTAGCTGGGATTACAGGCACGTGCCACCATGCCCAGCTAATTTTTTGTATTTTTAGTAGAGACAGGGTTTCACCATGTTGACCAGGATGGTCTCGATCTCTTGACCTTGTGATCCACCCGCCTCGGCCTCCCAAAGTGCTGGGATTACAGGCTTGAGCCACCGCGCCCAGCCTGGAAAGAGTGTTAAGAGGCTGTACTTAGCTAGGCACAGTGGTTCATGCCTATAATCTCAGCACTTTGGGAGGCCAAGGCAGGCCAAATGCTTGAGTCCAGGAATTTAAGACCAGCCTGGGCAACATGGTGGCCCCAGCTACTGAGGAGGCTGAAGTGGGAGGATTGCTTGAGTCAAGGAGGTTGCAGCGAGCCAGAGATTTGTGCCATTGCACTCCAGCTGAGTAATAGAGGGAGACCCTGTCTCAAACAAAACTTACACACAAAAGCAAACAAACAAAAAAACTTAAAAGAGACTGCATGTGAGAAACTTAATTCTAAGTTCAAAAGATGAATATAGGGTGTTGTTTTTTCCTATTCCATGCATTCTCAGGAATATTACCAGAAGCTAGAGAAGAAGCAGGCAGATGAAGAGATACTTGGACGAAGAAACCGGGTTAAGTCCCTCAGGCTGGTAACGCCTTACATTCAGAAGGCAGAGGCTTATGAGTCAGGTAAGGTCAGGGCTGACCTGCTGACTTGGGCTGGGCATCTGGGTGGACAGAGCATGGGAGGGGGAGAGAAATGTGCCTCTCCTGACTCCTCTCATGCAGTGGTCCGAATCGAGGGTTCCCTGGGCCAGGTAGCTGTGTCGACATGTTTCAGCCCTCGCCGAGCTATTGATGCTGTACCTCATGGAACTCAAGAGCAGGTGGGAGCACTATCTTCCCAGACCTTTTTCTCTCCCCTATGGAAGAAGGGTCTAGAACACTTGTGTTTGAGTTAAGACTATGACCTAAGAGAGAAGAAGTGTGATCAAACTTTGTTTCTAGCCTTTACAGTTCAATCTCTAGCTAGTCAGAGGCCTGGGCTGGGGCTGTGGCAGTATGGCTGATAGCTGGTGACTCTTTTCTCCTAGGATATAGGAGTTGCAAGCAGTCAGAGGCTTGGGGTATTATACCGGATTGAGAAGGTGAGATATCAGTTCCTTAGAGACAAGTTCTGAAGTTACCTTTGAGAATGAGATATTACCCAAATTTACCTCTTTTTCCACCCTCAAATTCCCAGATGTTCCTTCAGTTACTAGAAATAGAGGAAGGCTACAAGGATAGGCCTCCACAGCCCTGCTTTTCTGAGAAGCAAAGCAACCAGGTTGAGAAGCTCTTCCAGACCTTAAAGACCCAGGAGCAGAACAACGTGGAGTGAGTGTGGGAGGGTTCCACCTCAGCCCAGGAAGGGAAGGAGCAGCAAAGACATTCGTCTTGCTTCTCCCTCTCCTTTCTGGCATGTAGCCCACTCCTCTATGCAGAGCTCTGGAAATGCTCTCCTCTCTCCCTTGTAGGGAGGCAGCAGATGGCTTCCTGCAGGTGCTCTCTGTGAGGAAGGGCAAGGCCCTGGTGGCCCGGCTGCTCCCCTTCCTGCCCCGGGATCAGGCTGTTACCATTCTATTGGCTATCACCCACCATCTGCCCCTCCTGATCCGGAGGGATGTGGCTGATCAGGTACTGTGGCATTGAGTGGAGAAGAGGATGGTCTCCTGAATAGGTTAGGGGCGTTCCTCCCCTTCAGTCCCCACATGCCCCAGAGATGCCAGAGAAAGTGCTGGGCACAGTGAGGGATGCTGGCCTGACCACCCGCAGGCAAGGAAGTTACAGAACAAACTACTATAGGAACAGTGAATCATCTTCAGGTACGACGAACAAAAAGAAACAGGTGTATGGTTGCACAGGTGTGAGTGTGCTGTGGAGGTTCGAGTAAAAGATTAGGAAGCCCTGATAAATGTTGAACCCCTATCTACTTTGCTTAGAGAAGGCATCCTAGGACAAGTGGGTACTGAAGGTGTCAGTGTTGGGGATGGAGAGTTATAGTGGTGATAAGCCTGGTAAGTAACCTCACCAGGAGGTACCAAAGGCAGAACAGCGAGGAAAGGGGCTGGAAGCAAGGTAAGGGGAGGTGAAGTTGTAGTGGAATTTGGGAGGTGCTTACTGATCTTCTTGCAGGCCCTACAAACGTTGTTCAAACCTCTGAGCAAGTGTATCAGTCACCTGACCCTCCATGAACTCCTCCAAGGACTTCAGGGGCTAATGCTGTTACCACCTGGCTCCTCAGAGCGGCCAGTCGCTGTGGTCCTTCAGAATCAGGTAACATGTCTAGGAGGCTTTTGTCTTTCCATAGATGGCTTTCAAGTTGGTATCACTGATAAGAGATAAGTTGGGCAACAGTTTCATTTCTCCACAAATCTTATCCTCTGCAATGTTTCTCAATTTCTAGTAAGCATAGGATCACCTGGCAAGCTTAGTAAACCCCACTCCTTGGTCCCACTCAGTCATTCATTGGGTCCGGTGTGGGGCCCATGCACCTTCTCTGCTTTTCTAGTAAGCTCCCTGATTGCTGCTGATGTGAGTCTCTAGATCATGTCTCCAAACTCGTGTGTACCTCTTTGAGTGGAAAAAAAAAAAAATTCTAAGCCCACGTGTTTACAAATCAAATACATGCAACACTAGTAATATTAGGCACATAATATTTTATTTTTATTTATTTTTTAGATAGTCTCGCTCTGTCACCCAGGCTGGAGTGCACTGGCATGATCTTGGCTCACTGTAACCTCCACCTCCCAGGTTCAAATGATTCTCATGCCTCAGCCTCCCAAGTAGCTGGGATTACAGGTGTATACCACCACACCCAGCTAATTTTTGTATTTTTAGCAGAGACATAGTTTCACCATGTTGGCCAGGCTGGTCTTGAACTCCTAACTTTAAGTGATCTGCCCACCTTGGCCTCCAAAAGTGCTGGGATTACAGGCATGAGCCACCATGCCTGGCCAATAGGTACATAATAAAAGATAGAAATTTTTAAAGAATGAGACTCTAGATGTCAAAGTTATGATGCTGTCTTCCAATATCACAGTGGATTATCTCGTATATGCCACACTGAAGGTCTTTGCTTAAAGTAGTGCCTCTTAAAGTGGGGTCCACAGAATACCTGCCCCAGATTCCTGGACGCATTCCCAATCTCCTGCTAGTCAAGCCGAGAATTATGCATTTAATCAGCTCTCCAAGAGTGTCTTTTGGACTGTTCAGAGCAGTGATTCCTATGGAAAGGTTACAGAGTTCTTTGGCTTACCAGTGTAAAACCTGACAGCCCTTGTGGGTATTTTGCGCTCCATCTCTAAATGTGAACCTGCCCTTTAGCTGGGAAGATAAGAGTCAGGAAAGCACCAAATACTGAGACTGAACTCATTTTGCCCTGGAATATATGTATGTCACTTGCAGTTTGGAATATCTTTGCTCTATGCCCTGATGAGTCATGGGGAGCAGCTGGTATCGCTGGATTCTTCCCTAGAGGAACCCAACACTGACCGTACAGCTTGGTAAGATCATAAAGGCCTTGTAAATACTACTTTGGTACCCCTGGGATGTGCAGACTGAGCCAGATGAAGTGTTTTCTGAGGCGTTTTCAAGTACTGAGGAGAAGGTTGGATACAGAAAGAAATAGCATCTTGTAGCTTTTTTTTTTTCTATAGTGCCCTAAAGTTTTGGTTTCTCCTGGGAGGCGGTATAGCACAGTACCTAAAGGGACAACCTTTAGAGTTTGGACTGGGTGCGGTGGCTCACACCTGTAATCCCAACACTTTGGGAGGCCAAGGCAGGCAGATCACCTGAGATCAGGTGTTTGAGACCAGCCTGGCAAACATGGTGAAATCCCGTCTCTACTAAAAATACAAAAATTAGCCGGGTGTGGTGGCAGGCACCTGTAATCCCAGCTACTTGGGAGGCTGAGGCAGGAGAATTGCTTGAACCCAGGAGGCAGAAGTTGTAGTGAGCAGAAATCAAGCCACCTGGGGAATAAGAACGAAACTTAATCTCAAAAAAAAAAAAAAAAAAACCCCAAAAAACCTCTTAGGTTTGAATTCTGGCAGTATCACATTATTAGCAATATATCTTTAGGGCAAATTCTTTCACTTCTCCTAGTTTGTTTCTTTATAAGCTACAGATGATGGTATTAACCCCTCAGAGTTCTTAAAATTAAATAAGAAGGGAAATGTGTAAAGCACTAAGCATTAGGCCGGGCGCGGTGGCTCACGCTTGTAATCCCAGCACTTTGGGATGCCGAGGCGGGTGGATCACGAGGTCAAGAGATCGAGACCATCCTGGTCAACATGGTGAAACCCCGTCTCTACTAAAAATGCAAAAAATTAGCTGGGCATGGTGGTGCGTGCCTGTAATCCCAGCTACTCAGGAGGCTGAGGCAGGAGAATTGCCTGAACCCAGAAGGCGGAGGTTGCGGTGAGCCGAGATTGTGCCATTGCACTCCAGCCTGGGTAACAAGAGGCAAACTCCGTCTCAAAAAAAAAAAAAAAAAAAAAAAAAAAGCACTAAGCATTGCTTGGCATGTACCAAATATGCAAATGTTACCTCTGAATTGCTACCTGGGGTGGGGGACAATGGCAGTAGCAATGGAAAGATAATGAGAAACCTTAGCCCTGAGTCTGTTTCCTAAGCAAATTTATTTGCTTATATTTGTATTTATGCTCTCTAGGACAGACATGGTGGTTCTGATTGCCTGGGAGATAGCCCAGATGCCTGCAGCCTCTCTGGCAGAACCTCTGGCTTTCCCTAGCAACCTACTTCCCCTGTTCTGTCACCAAGTGGACAAACAATTGGTTCAGCATCTGGAGGCCAGAATGAAGTAAGTAATAACAGAAACAAAGTCAAAGACCCTTGTTCAAGCCCAATCTATGTTCTGTTAGTTGCTTCACTACTTCCTTCTTTTAAATGATGAGAATAAAGGATCATGTAGAAGTAGTTCTACACACTGACATTTACTGAGTAACCAGTCTTGATCAAGTCTTCAGCCAAACCTTTTAATTTATTCCAGGAGCTTTTGTCATTTATAGTGCTAAGCTATTTGAAGGCAAGAATTAATTTCAGAACCTGAATTCATTCATTCAACAAATACTTGAGGAATGACTATTGCATGATATAAGCATGAATAGCATGGTCATCTCTGCCTCAGAATTATTGCTAGAAAGAACCAGATACTAATCAAATTATATAAATACTTGTAAAGTAGAATTGTGCTTATAGTTAACACCCGTTCTCTCTATAGGTTTGCCTGGATCTAGTGATCTGTTTGTTCTGGAATACATGTATCTTGGAAGTTGAATCATCAGACACTAGCTGCATAGACTATGTTTACAGGGATCCAGAGAGTCTGAAGACATTTCTTACATCTTTACATATTGGAGAACCCTTCCCCAAACATTTTCATATCCTTTCATCAAGAACCTAAATGATGTGCCTAAAAATAAGACATGGCATAGTAAGATAAAATTAAAGAGCTAAGAGAATGATGTGTTGTAACTTGCTTATAAGTTAGGGCCTATAATGAAGGCTATCTTCTGTGTGAGTGCTCCTGGAATCTTTTTTTTTTTTTTTCTTTTTTTAGGCAGGTGGGAGTGCAGTGGCACCATCATGACTCACTGCAGCATTGACCTCCAGGATCAAGTGATCCTCCTACCAGTCTTCTGAATAGCTGGGATTACAGATATGCGACGCCACACCCAGCTAATACTAAATTTTTTAATTTTTTTAGAGAGACAAGGGTCTCCCTGTGTTGCCCAGGGTGGATTCCAGTGATTCCCCCTACTTGGCCTCCCAAAGTGCTGGGATTACAGGCATGAAAAGAATGTCCTGATTATAAGGGACAAGGCCTTGTTGTAGCTAATACAAGTGTAACTTTAGAAATTGCTTTAATGTTGCCATTTTTTATAGAGAGAAAATAGCCTCAGCTGAGCTTAGAAGGTTGAATATATCTCCCTTGTAATAGAAAATGTTTGGTTTCAGCCAGGTGCAGTGGCTCATGCCTGTAATCTTAGCACTTTGGGAGGCTGAGGCAAGTAAATCACCTGAGGTTAGGAATTTAAAACTAGCCTGGCCAACATGGTGAAACCCTGTCTCTACTAAAACACAAAAGTTAGCCGGTTGTGGCCTGTGCCTGCAAACCCAGCTACTCTGGAGGCTGAGGCAGGAAAATTGCTTGAGCAGGGAAGGCGTAGGTTGCAGGGAGCTGAGATCACGCCACTGCGTTCGGGCCTGGGTGACAGAGCCAGATTCCACCTTAAAAAAAAAAAAAGTTTGGTTTCATTTTGACAAATAAGGTCATGCATTCATGAACAAATGCTGGAGTACTTTTCATGAAACAGGCACTGTTTTAGGTACTAGCGTGGACAGTAGTGAGCAACAAAGTCCCTGCTCTTTTGAAGTTCACATTCTGATTGGACAGGAACTGGCAGAAGATAACAAGTAGTGATAAATACTATGATTAAAAACAAAGCTAGGTAAGAAAGACTGCAGTAGAAGGGATTTTAGATTGAATGGTCCAGAGAGGCCTGTCAATAGGTTTCATTTATGCTGAAATGTTCTGAATGTGGAAAATGATGTGTTGATAAGAAGGTACAGCTATCTTTTAGGAGGCTTTTCCAAAATGCCTACACAACCGCTCTTCTCATCTCAAAGCCTTTGCTCCTTTGCTGCTCTCCTTCTCTGCTGATGATCTTGGATCATGCTGCTGAGACAACAGACTGGAGCTCTACCATCTCCACCCCTTACTGACCCCGTGTCTTCGCCTGTTACAATCAACTTTTGGGTCAACATCCTCATTATGGATCCACGCTGTAAGACTTGGTCCATGCTACCAAGGAAATGGCACCGCCCCAGAGTCTGTAAGCAAACACAATAAGAAAAGCGAAGAAAAGAGGCAGGAACTGGGTTCCAAGGGAGCAGGAGGCAGTTGGACCAAGAAGGCAAAGGGTAATGCCACAGAGCGAGAACAGCTGCAAAAGCATGCCAGGCCAGTAAAGCAGACTGGGACTGGGGCCAAGGCAGATAGGGCTTTGCTGGAGAGGCTGGTACTGCCCCCCACAGGAAAGGAATGGAACCGACCGGAGACAGCCGAGAGGTCCCTGCGGGAGTCACGAGACCGAGCGTGAGCCGCTCCGTATACCGCGCATGCCCGTCGCCGTCAGGTTCCGGCTAAAGTGACCGGAAGTAACGGCCGGGCCAAGATGGCTGCAGAGGAGGAGGTCGTGAGTGCTGCTTCCGTCCACACTGCGGCCATGGAGCGGGTTCTACCCATGCTGTTGGTGCGGGTCCCCGCCGAAGCTATGGGGCAGCTGGGCTCCCACGCGCAGCTGCACACACAGCAAGAGGTTCTGGGGAGCCTGACGGCTGCAGGCAGCCTCCAGGTGCTTTCTTTGGCGCCTGGCAGCCAGGGCGGGGGTCGCTGCTGCCTGGAGGGCCCCTTCTGGCAGTAAGTGCCGGGGAGAGCTGGGTAGTGGGGGGGAGTACGGAGCTGGCCGAGCCCCAAGGGATCACGCCGAGGTTTCCCTGCAGGTGTGGAGGTGGCGGGAGAGGGGTGACAGCCGCAAGAAACGCCCCAGAGGTGAGCCTAGTTTCCACTAAGAACCTTTCCCTCGACCTCAAGCGCTCTCCTTGTTGCATCCCGGCAGCCCGGCTCCCTTGTTCTGGGTGGGCGGAGACGGCATCCAGCTCCTCTGCCACCTGCGGCAAACCCGGAGAGGGTTCCAGCTGAGGCTGATTCCTTCTTTATTCAACACAGGTTGATTAACAGTGAGAGGGTCGAGTCCCATGCCCTTTTCTTTCTGTTAAAGATGACAGCTGAGGATCATCTCTAGTTTGAATCATCCTGATACCTTTTTCATGTCCTTGAAATAAATAGCGTTTTCCTTCAAATATAGTGCTCTTCTTCAAGAACAGAGTCCAGTTTGTCCCTTCACTTACTCAACAAATATGTGTGCCTGCTGTTACATAGGAGCAGTGCCTAAAAAGTTGAGTAAGACAGTTTCTTGTGAAGGGCGCATGTTTTGGGAAGACGGACATAATTACAGTAATGGGTTACGTTCTACTTCTGTAACTCTCGGTTCAGTACTTAAGACTTTACATCATAAAGTTTGGGAGTGCCTTCTTGGTGTTTTGAGTGGGCTTGTTTTTTAAAAAAGATAACTTCGCTGTTGCCCAGGCTGGAGTGCAGTAGCTCAGTCACGGGTCACGGCAGCCAGCCTCAACCTTCCGGGCTCAGCCTCCCGAGTAGCATAGCTAGAGCTACAGGTGTACGCCACCAGGCCTGGCTAATTTTTCTGTTTTTTGTAGATAGGAGGTCTCACTATGTTGCCTAGGCTAGTCTCAAACTGCTGAGCTCAAGTGATCCTTCCGCCTCTGCCTGCCAAAGTGTTGGGATTACAGGCGTGAGCCAATGAGCCTGACCTGTTTTTTCTTTTTAAATAATTATTAGTAAGTATTTTCAAAACTCTTTAAGACGAGTAGCCAAAAGATGTCTTATTCATTTTGGAATCTTCAGCTCTTCTAACAGTTCCTGACACTTAAAGATTAATTTGATAAATCAGTGAATGCTTAACCTCTTTTCGGTTTGTTTTCCCTACCCTGGATGTCTAGTTGCTTGGAAGAGGACTCTATTATTTAGAAACTATTTAGAAACTATTATAAACTACAAACTATTTATAAACTAAGTTATTTATAAACTAACTTAGGGGAAGTTAGTTTATTTAGCAGTATCAAGTGCCTATAATTGTGGCTCTGTAAAGAGGAATGGGGCATAAAGAAAAGAAGTAGAAATCATTAGGTGTTTGAGAACCCAGCAGAGAAGGTAAGACCCATATGAAAAAAAGGGGGCATTCATATGCTAGTTCATAAAATTTGAGTGGAGGAGGACCAAGAAAGGTCTTTTTAATTTTTTTATTTAAATTGAAGTTTAATTAAGTGAAAACATTTCACAGGGTGGCATGGTTAAAGTATTTAGAGTTACCTACTTTTTCAAAGTACATGGGTCTTTATATATCTTATTTACTGTATTGAGAATTTCCTGTCTTTCCATGTGGCAATATTGTCCCTATGCTAATGATGTCATAGTCCTCTTCCTTTTAAATATATCTTGGTTTAAGTTTTGTATATTTGACATTAGGTTTTCTGCATTTATCAATGTGAACAGAAATGTCGATCTTTTTATCTAATAAGGATTTAATAGCACTTTAATAATATAGAATTGCTATAGTAGTATAAAATATGTAATAGTGTATAATATGTACTTTTATTAGTTTTATTACTAATTGAATTAAATCATATGTGTGCCACAGTAGTTTTATACACTACCCCAGAAGTATAAAACGTACTGCTTCTGTAGAAAAAGCAACCTTTTTTAAAAAAAAATTTTTTATTATTTTTTTAAGACGGGGTTTCACCATGTTGGTCAGGCTGGCCTTGAACTCCCGACCTCAGGTAATCCGCCCGCCTTGGCCTCCAAAGTGCTTGGATTACAGGCTTGAGCCACCACGCCCGGCCTAAAGCAACCTTCTTAAAGGATGAAATTTTATCAGCATGGTATAGCCTTACCTCTTTTCATTGCATTGTTTTCAGATTTGGGTCTTTTATTTGTAATATGTAATTTAATTTTAACATTAAACTTGAAGCTGAAGCACCGTAAGTCTTGCCAGTGTTGTTTTGACATTACAGTTTAAGAATTCCATAACTCTGCTGTTGAGTAATGGTAATCATTAGCTACATGTGACTGTTAAAAAATTTGGTTCCTCAATTACTCCATGTTTGAAGTGTTGAGTAACTGCATGTGGCTGTTGACTACTGTGTTGGGCAGTGCTAATATAAAACATTTCCATCATAGAAGGTTCTATTGGGCAGAATTGTTCAAGATTTTGGAATCATCAGACTATAAGTACAAATCTCTTTTTAAAAGTCAAAACATTTAAGTTATCAAGAGCCTGTTTTGTTGGTTATGCCACCTCATAAATAATACACATATTGTATTGTTGATACCTATCCTTGATCATGACAGTTTGTTTAAACATATTAGTTGGGATTAAAGATGAAAGAATAAAAGGAGCCATCATCTCTTGCTCTGAGCCTCACATTTTTGTTTTTTACCACCCACTCCTGTATTTTTGTGTTGGTGTAAAAGGGAAAGTGGGAAGAGGAGGGAGGTCCTAGAGCAGTTGACGTTCTCTTAAATTGAAGTGTAGAATGAATGTTACCAGGTCAACTAAACTGTTCTTTATTCAGCCCTTTTACTCCCACTATTGTGGGTAAATATTATTGTGGATATAGAATATAATCTAAACTTTTTTCTAGCTTTATGTGGGAGGATTCTCGTAACAGCAGCACACCAACTGACAAGCCCAAACTGCTCGCTCTTGGTGAAAATTATGAACTGCTTATCTATGAATTTAATTTGAAAGATGGAAGATGTGATGCAGCCATTTTGTATAGCTATAGTGGGGAGGCATTGCAAAAGCTCATTGAAGATCAAGGTATCAGTAAGTATCTACAGGTAGTCTTTCAGCATATTTAAATATGTGACATTACCATGTGATGTGATATACTTCAGAAAAACTTCTCATAGAGGTGAAATCAGGTCTACACTGTTGGATATAGTAGCTGCTAGGCAGATGGGGCTATTGAGCACTTGAAATATGGTTAACATGAATTAAGATACACTTTGTGTCATATACATATTAGATTTTGAAGACTTAGTACTAAAGTAAAATATCTTGATGTTTTGTATTTCAATTACTTTTCAAAATATTGAAATATTTTGGATATAAGCCAAATAATGTATATTAAAATTAATTTCATTTGTTTCTTTTCAATGTGGCTACCAGAAAAGTTTATTTTTATTTATTTAATTTTGTTGTGACAGAGTCTCACTCTGTCACCCAGGCTGGAGTATAGTGATGCCATCTCAGCTCACTGCAACTTCTGCCCTCCACAGTTCAAGCAGTTCACCTGCCTCAGCCTCTCAAGTAGCTGGGATTACAGGTGCTTGTTACGATGCCCAGCTAATTTTTATATGTTTAGTAGAGACAGGATTTAGCCACATTGGCCAGGCTGCTCTCAAGCTTCTGATGACCTCAAGTGATCCACCCACCTGGGCCTCCCAAAGTGCTGGGATTACAGGCATGAGCCACCCCTGCCAGAAAATTTTAAATCATGTACGTGGCTCACATTATATTTCTATTGGGCAAGTGCTCATCTAGACTGCTTATTAGAGCTGTTGACTGCACAGAGCGGAAATCAAGCACTCAGGCCTCTATAAAAAAGGAAGTAATATATTCTTCATCCTTGATTATAAGGTTTTTTTCTTTGCTTTAAAAAGGAAAAAAAGTGATTGTTCTTACGGGGTCCCATGGGTAAGTTGGCTTTTTTTTGAATCTTCCTTCTGTCAGACTAGCTTAATCAGAACCAGGGATGTTGTAGCCCATCTTTATTCATCCTCTTACCCACCTTCCAGTGACCACTTGCTTAGGTAGGTATGAATGATAACTGCTTAGAGTTAAACTAAGTCCAGTTCCTTTTTTGTTTTACTTTTTGTGTTAGGTTTATAAAATCAAATGTACCAGTTGTAAAATTGTGACCAATGAGTTTGAAATAATATACTTTTGTTTTGTAGGTATTTCCTTATTGTCTTTGAGAATCCTGTCATTTTGCAATAACACATCATTACTATTCATCAACAAATGTATTGTCCTGCATATTATATTTCCTGAAAGAGATGCCGCAATTAGAGTACTCAACTGTTTCACACTACCCTTGCCTGTGCAGGCAGTGGACACAATTATTGACACACAGCTCTGCAAAGGAGTTCTTTTTGTTTTGAGTAGCTTGGGCTGGATCTGTATCCTTGGTGGTAGAAGTGTTGATTGATATGTATGGGAGAAGAATACCTAGAAAGATGAGCCTTTTTAGGCTTTAGTTTTGGGGGCTTTGATATAGGGAGCATGGTTAGTTTTTCAGTAAAACTTTTCATGGAAAAAGATCCTCATAAACTTAAAATACTGAATTACATATTGCTTTATATTCTATTTGAATCTTTTCCAGTATATACAGTTTTTAATAGTCTTAATCATCTATACATGTTTGTGTTCTTTTAAAATTGTATATTCTCTGTATTATCTATTCAAAATATATTTCTTGAATACTATGTGCTTATTCCAGAAAGGAATTAAATGACTGTTTATGGGGCCAGGTGCGGTGGCTCACACCTGTAATCCCAGCACTTTGGGAGGCTCTGGCAGGTGGATCACAAGGTCAGGAGTTTGAGACCACCCTGGCCAATATGGTGAAACCCCATCTGTACTAAAAATAAAAAAAATTAGCTGGGTGTGATGGTGCATGCCCCTAATCCCAGCTACTCAGGAGACTGAGGCAGGAGAATTGCTTCAACCCAGGAGGTGGAGGCTGCAGTGAGCCGAGATTGTGCCGCTGACCTCTAGCCTGGGTGACAGAGTAAGACTCTGTCA